AGCCCACAACCCAAGCATGTACTGATTCACAGGTTGATGCTCAACCATTGAGCCACATAGGCTGGGCTAGTATACTTCTTTTATAATGGTTACTCTAAGATTTGTCCCACCAGGTGGGGGGGTGCGGCCTCAGGTCCCCTTGCCCAGTGCTAGGGGAGGAGACAAGGCCTGAAGTCCCCTGTCAAGCCCTGCCAGGTGTGTGTGTGTGTGTGGGGGGGTGTGTGCAGCCTGAGGTCCTCTGGCCTGGTGCTGGGGCAGGGCTGCAGCTTGAGGTCCCCTGTCAAGACCCACCATGCAGGGGTCGCAGCCTCAGGTCCCTGATGATTTTTCATTAAGGCTCGTTATGGAAATTCAGCCTTCATTGTGGGCACAGCCATCTTGTGTTACTGTATCCTCACCTCTGCACAGCCATCTTATGTTATGGAACCCCTGCCTCCACTGTGGGCAAAGCCATTTTTATGGTGTGATGGTCAATTTGCATATTCACTCTTTATTAGATAGGATTAAGTTCATGAACATATTATAGTAGCTACTTTGAAGTCCTGGCCCCCTAGTTTCAACATTTGTATCACCTAATAGTATATGTCTACTAACTTATTTTTCTCTTGACCTTAGGTTTCCTTTTTCTAGTATTGTGTCAATATTTTGCTTGTTTTTCTATACCCGCTAATTTTTTACTGTACACTGGACATTACAGGTGAAATACTACAAAATTTTGTTATCTTCTAACAGTGGTGATTTTGTTCTAGACACAGTTACATTATTGCCCCGCCCCCCCCCCTGCTGGCCTGGTCATCCCAACTGCCCCCCCTGCTGGCCTGGTCACCCCCAACTGCCCTCCCCCTGCCAGCCTGGTCACCCCATGCAGCCTGCTGTTCAGTCATTTGGTTGTCCCTCACTAAACCTCCTGCCAGCCTGGTCATAGGCAGCCATTTGTGAGGGTATGAGGGTCAATTTGCATATTACCTCTTTATTATATAGGATGATCTTTAGTTATAAATATTTTCAAGCATGAAAAGTTTTGTTATTGTTTTATAGTTACTCCCTGTTTGCTCCCCAATATTTTAGGGATTTATAACACTGGGAGGCAAGTAAATAATTGCAAGAACATCATTTTACCATGTTCATGTCAACAAATAAACAATTGTATAGGAATTGAAAACAATAAAGTGAATTACGATTATTTTAAATCAAAGGGAAAGCTTTGCTTAACTCATATCATTTTAAGAAGACTAAGTCTTTAAATACAAAATGAGTACCTTTTAATTTATAGTTTTGTGTATCATGCAATGGTCTTAGAATCTTTCTATGAAATAAAAATAATCTCCTAAATGATAGTTTTATCTCTCATTCAATAGGTAGAATATGCAATATTCAAATTGTAATCACATAAAATGGAATATTTTCCCACTTGAAATGAATATACATGCACATGTATATATTCACACACACACAGCAAGCAAAATTCAACCCAGAAAAGGCTCTTTGTCTCCAAAAGACTTATTTCTTTTTAATAATTACTGTTGTACTAAAAAAGCCCTTAATTGTTTCTTTAATTACGGTTGCATAGCTACCTTAACATCTTGTCAGATAATCTTATCTGCACAACTGTTATTCCTTGGTTGAAAAGTGACTCTGTGATGTCTAACTTCCTTTTCTGTTTCAATTTATGCTTCCCCTATTGTCCATGCAGCACTGGAAACAGCACTTAAAGTTACTCAAGCCCTAACTCATTTTCTCTTGGCTTTAATTAAGTCATGTATTGACATTTGATGTAATTTATAGCTGATAAATTTAGATTTGTCTTATGCCAGACCATGTACTGTTTCATCTATTCCTTCTCAGTTTGGTATTCATTCCAGAAAGTTCCATTAAGAGGCCATTAATTAAAATGTTGTGTAAACATAGTAAACAGTCTTGCATAGGCTTAAAAGTAAAATTGGTCTTTTGTTATGTAGCTTTCACTGGTAAGATGACTTTTACATCCATGTGTCTATAGTGCACTCACAAACACACAAATGCTACCAAATGCATTTATATACATAAGCATCCAACACTATGCCTTATAAAAAATTGACATTGACTTAAAATTTTTAGTAATTGTGCTTTATAATGTAGCTAGTATTTCTTTAATCATTTGTTCATTTCACACTTACCTTACACAGTTGGTAATAATATATGAAACAGCTGTAAACTTTCACAATAATAGGTACTCTTGAATCTGATGTGTCTAGTTAATTTTTAGTGAAACAAATTAGTTTTGTTCTTCATTATTCTCCAATAGAAGAAAGACATAATATTTCATATTTTTTGTCTGCAAGAACAATGGATCATTACAGGTTACACACAACAATCTTGTCTATGCTTTAATTAGTGCAACTGACAACATTTTTTCAAAAATATCCGCAGCAAAGGAAGAGTAAATACCTGTGGTAACAAATATTGCACTATATTAAATATGACATTTTATTAACCTTTTATATAAATGAAGAAATGTTCTTTTCTCTCTGTTCTGTGAGGTATTATTTTCTCTTTAGTATCTAAAAATATCACCAGATATATCTATATCTCATATTAAAAATATGAACTCATTTTAAATACATTTTGACTATGTTTATATATAAAACAATTAAGGGCAGATAGATTGGGAAAATGAATCAGGTTTACTAACTACATAAGTGAATCTGTATTTTGTCTTAAAAATTAAACTCAAAAGACACTTTAGAAATAAAATATAAGTACATATAAAAAAAGGCTAGCTGCTATAACAAAGAAGCCTGCATTCTGATTGGCTTAACAAAAGACAAGTTTCTTTCTTATTTATAACCCAGTCTAAAATGGGGTAGCAGATTTTTATACAGTTATTCAGTAAATGTTAGTCTTTCCAGTCAATGGCTCCACCATCTCTTAGGGAGGCGGTGGCCCCTAAGAATTGTCACAATACATGGGTCAAGTCTGAAGGTAGCATGCATCACTTGTGCCCGTGTACCATTGGCCAATATTCATTCACTTTGTTACACTCAACTATAAGGCAGTCTGGGTGATGTGGGTTGATTTTCTTACTTGAAATGAAAGAGAAACTGCAGTAAATGAGTTTGCAGGACTCTTATGTCTAGACAGTTTATAACTTACGTCCTTGAAGTTACCTGAGTGGCTCTTAAAATAAACCTTAACTTTAAGTAGGCCATAATTTTGAGTCACAAACTATTGTGTTTCTATTAACCTTTTTACGTACAACATCTAAACATCCCTCACAAATAGAAGGCACTATTGTCAACGAACAAAAACTGGTTCTCAAAAAGTTTAAGTGCCCTGCATAAGCTCACTGCTTACTTAGCTAGTAAGTAGCAGAGATGGTATTCAAATGCAGAGCCTCAAAGTCTAATATATTTCAGTGCCATGATAACTAATAAAAAATGCACATTCCTTTGATGAGATATGCTAAAATTTGCCATTTATATTTGGATTATAATTTACTTATAAATAGTACTTGATTAGTCACTAATTGGGTATAGTATTGACATTGGAATCAGTTTAGGCTATCACAAAAAAAGCTATTATGGATATTCATGTATTAGTCTTTATATGAACATCTGATTCCAAGTTGTAGTATTTACACACCACAAGTGGAATACCTCTTAGTAACAAAAAAGAATAATTTATACACAGCAACATAGATGAATCTCAAAACAATTGTGCTGAGTGAAAGCCAGATAATACAGAGTACATACTGTATAATTCCATATATATATAAATGTAAGAAATAAAGATAATCTACAGTGACAGATCAGTTGTTGCCTGGGAGTTAGCATGGAGAGGTTGAAGGGTTGAATGGAGGGATAATAAATGGGCAGGAGGAAACTTTGGAGACTAAAGGATATATATATACTCATTATCTTGTAGTAGTGATGGTTTCACACCAGTATGCATATGTCAAAACAATTAAATTACTCCTTTATATATGTCAGCTTATTATATGTTTATCATGCACCAATAAAGCTATTAAAATAAAACCTTAAAAAAGAAAAATCACTTAATTCTCCGCGTTTAAACTTCTTAATCTGTTAAGTACCTTCATATTTGTTCTTCAATGATATTATGATTATGCTTATTTAAAAATGTGGATTAAGACTTTTAAAATTATCTCTGAGAGGTCTAGTTTATCAGAAACATGACTACTTCTAGAATAATCTTAGTCCAAGTTTAAGTGTATGCTTTAACTATGCAGACCTTAGAATTAAGTTTCAAATTGTCCTTTGAGTTCAACTTTTAAGTGGATTTTCAAGTTAGTTTCATATATTTTATGGTAATACATACAAGTTTTATATTTTCATAACTCTTTAATTATAAATACTAATCTTTATGAAAGTATGTTTACATAATTGCCATTGTTTTATGCATTGCATTGATTTTATACATTCCTGAAAATTAAGTAGTTGACCAAAATAAAAGTTTTTTGGTATGATATTAAAGACAATATTAAGTTCCATATTTTTGAATCGTGAACATTTGAATTTGGACCATCCTGTAAATGAAAGAAAATTTAAAGACCCTGGGCTGAATGTGGCAACTGCATTTTTTATTGTATGAGACTACATTAAAAGACTCTTTACCTAACTGAAGAAAAGTTGCCATTATTTCAACCCCTAGTAATTATTTTAGTACTCATCTATAAGGTGGTAAATCGAGAAGCAGTTCTGAATTTATTCATAATAGTAAACCAACCATAAGAGAGCAATGTGGGTTTTGTTTAGTTTAAATTAATTGTATTCTTTACTGATTAGCAATGTTTTTAATCACATTTCAAGCTCATGATTTGATTATTCTTCTGTAACATAAAATATTCTTATCAATAATTGTGACAGGTTTAGGACACAACCAATATTACTTGCTTTCAAATGAATTTTCTATTTTTTTGTGTGTGTAGTTTTAGAGCATCATATGTATTGCTGTGTTTGTTTTTATATTAATATTTACTAAAACTATTGTTTCTTCCATAGGTGGACGAAATGAAGTTGTCATTACTGAAAACAATAACAGTATAACTGAGCAAATCACTGATGTTGTGAAGCAACCAGCCTTTATAGCTGGCATTGGTGGTGCCTGCTGGGTGATTCTGATGGGTTTTAGCATCTGGTTGTATTGGCGAAGAAAGAAGAGAAAGGGACTCAGTAATTATGCTGGTAAGAGACTGTTCCCAGTTAAGAAAACCTCTTATCTTTATGAATGTGCTGAAATAAAAAAAGAAAGAATGTATTGGGGTAGAATTCTAGAAGAGTGAATGAATGAATCTTTTTGGCTTGTTTTAAACATCTTTTCTGTAAAATGCAATTATAAACGACATGCTTTAATGCATTGCTGTTCAGTATATCACATTATGACCAGAAGGCAATCTTTTTGCTTGAATTTTCAATGAAGCATAACGAGAGTGCATACTGATAAATGCTTAACCGTTTTTCTCAACTAGTTCATCAAAACACAGAAATATACAGACTTTGCATGCTATAAAGCCATTCCTTGAGATTGTCTTTAGGCAAGAGGATTACTAAAATGCTCAGGAAAAAAAGGCTTGACGGAATTAATAAGACTGGTGACGCATGAATTAAGGATTCACTAGTCACTTAAACAGATGTTTGGTTCAAGGTGGCCAATCAACATTTTAGAAGGAAGAGAAAGGAGAAGTAAAAGAAGCAGAAGAAGAAAAAGAGATCAATGTGTTCTACCTGCCTGAAAAGATGTTTTGTTTTAGAATCCAAAATAGAATTTCAAGGCTTTCAAAATGGTGGGTTTTAAAATATTTCCAAAATGAGAGAAAGAGAAGGGAGGGAGGGAGGGAGGGGAGAGAGAGAGAGAGATAGAGAGGATGATCAAGTCAATAACTAAAAGAATGAGCTCAGTACTGAAGCTTGTTTAATAATAATTTTGTCTGCAATTCATTTAAAACTTTTTTATCTATCAATAATAAAAAAGAAATTATCTCACAATATTTTACACTTTTAGAGTTTATAAGCAAACAATTTTGATTTAACATCATTCTACAAACACTTTAGAGTTTTTTGAGAAATTCTATTCAATCTTCTATAACCTTGTTAAGAAGCATAAATATCTTAATAAATGATTTAACAAGGGTTTCATTGCTTATTAAGTTTATAAACTGCTGTAGTTTGTAGACTTCTAAACTGCTGAGAATGTCTAAATAATGAAAATGAAAAAAATAGCACCCACTTGTCTGGTCAGTTATTTTATAGAATTTAAACTTAATTATAACATTTTGGACCATGGTCACATCTTATGAAAATGAAGTTTATTAGTTACTGGATAGAATAATCCCCTAGAGAAAGTATTATAGTGTCTCCATTGGAAAGGGGCTTCCATGCTTTGTGATCGGCTATCTTTCTGCCACTCTCTTTGCTATTGATTGCTGACTCATTCTTGCTTATGCTTTGAGAGCTGACTCATCACACCAGTGAATGATTCTTCCCAGAAAGGGGTGGCAGGCAGTAACTGCTGAGTGTCAGTCTTGAACCTGGATGATGCTTTAATGTAGCTTCTTGATTTGCAGTGCAGTGCTCCACCCTCATTCCTGGAAGTACTACCAACCCATGTGTTTAATCACTTACAATGCTACATTTTATCTCTGTGACACCTTCATATACTAGTGAATCTTATATAACATATACAAGAACGGATTCCATTCAAAGACTACTTTGTGTTTATCTCTTTGCTTGGCTTTAGTGAAAACATTAAAAAATATGCACTATAGTAGTCACTTCAGTGCAGTGTGGTAGTTTTACTCTCCATAAGTCTTCACTCATGCCTCATAAATAGTAGAACTCTCATAATTAGTAGGTTTGTGCTTTAGTAAAATTATGCCAGACATATTTTCCTTCTTTTTTTTTTTTTTTTTTTTTTTTTTTATAGCAGGTTGTGTTTTTGTTGTGTTGCTCGTTTGGTTTTGGTTTGCAAAAATCTATGTATTTGATTTGAAAATTTCTGTTGGTCTTTGAGCTTGACAAGAATAGTCCATTTACTATTATCATTTCTCATAGTGATTGATATCCATCTGCTTGTAGAACTGCTAACTCAGAAGGTGTATATGCCCTTCAAATATTTTGGAATAAGGCCAAACCAAAGCAGCCTTTCAAAACCTTTATACTTAATTGATAGATGGCTGTCTCTCAGAATGGATTCACCTTCAACTAGTAATTTGCCTTCCAGCAACTGCTGTTCCTTTCTTGTAGGTGAGAAGGAAATGAAAATTGAAACCACAGGTACCTAGCATTGCATATCCGACTTGCAGATATTTTCTACACATTTCCCTCCAGAAATAGCCTTTCCTCCACCTGTGAAAGTGTTCACTGCTTGCCCTTATACAATGTAAAGAATATGGAGATTTTAAATAGGAATGATTAATGGAGTATATCTTTTTCATGGGTTGAAATTCTGTTATTTCATGAATGAGCTAATGATCCATTTTAAGAGCACAGAGATTTCACATGAGGCTGTTTTTCCCTGAAGTGTGTTATGAAATTATATCGACTAAATTCTGTATGGTTCTGTTTATATTTTTATTTTCATAACATTTCTCTGGAATAAATTTCACAAGAAAAAAATGAGATTTTACTTGCAAGATGAAAAGCCTAATATTTCTACTTTTTCACTACATTATAATGTCTATATAATCTCAAAACTTTATTGTTGACTCATGATTACAAAATAATTTTTCCAAATAGACAAAATTTTGGATACTGATTTAAATTAATTTACAATATAAGATACTTTCTTTATTTCAAGCCTTACGTGTGATGTGGTATTATACTTAAATATCTGATGTGTTACACTTATTAAGAAACATGCATTTTAATGAAACTGGACTGATCTGAGTAGAATTGCACTATAGGTAGAATTTGACTTTCTCACTCCCCTTTTCCTGCTCCTTTCCAAGTCTCTTCATCTCTACCAGAGGTAGAATGGGGGCATTTTAACTACTGGGGAGACATGTATAAAAATTCCTTTCAGGTTGGAAATTCTTACTCTTGCAGGATGTCTTCCCTCTTCCTTTTTAGGCAAAGCTCATTCAGGGACTGTTATTGCTGCTCTTCTTTGACTCTCCATCATGTGAAAAACTGTATTTGAGTGTCTAGAAGGAAGGGAAAGTAAATCTGCCCCTCAGTACTGATATTTTTCGTATGCCAGCTTTAACATATTTATTGGCCAACACTCGCAGTTTAACATTTTAGTTTGTAAAGACAACTATCAAGATTCAAATGCAAGCTTGTACCTTGAAGTGATCTGAGAGCATTTCCCTAACATGTTTTGCTTCTTTACATAGTAGAAATTAGAGATTCCCCAGGGCAATGTAACACACTAACTTTCTATTCATTTTTTTTATCCTTTATTTTAATTCTTCAAAAGCAAACATGTGCTACAGTTTTGCATGTGGTGCAAAGAAGGGTATCTAGATTTGAAAAAGTATCCTCAGATTTCATATTCTACATAAAGTAATTTTAGGTTTTTCCAGGGCAACATGCAATGTTATTTATCTTAATCTTCATTTGAGCACTAACAGTCCTCTTGTCACTGCACCTGACATCCCTGACCACTATAATAATTTACCAACTTAGTTGTATCAGGTGAAATAAGATTATAACGAGAATTGGGGAGAAAATATTAGGTTATTTTTGAACCTAGAGTAAATGTTTGATCATATGTAAAACAGTGTTCAGAAATAGAAAAATGAACAACATAAATTTAAATAAAATCCATGTAGCTTTCATGAGTATTCTATATAATTCTATATGTAGATATAATATGAAACATATATGTTCATGTATTTTACATGTCTGTATTAGAATCCACATGAAGCTAACACAACTTCTTTCAAATTTATGTTGCTCGCCTTATTCATAATTTTAAAGCATCAGATTTTTTAATGGAATAAATATATATTTTACTTTTAAACAGGTGATTTTATTTTATGACTCTTACCTCTGTAGATAACAGATTTTATGAAACTCAATAAGTATTAACAATTAATGAGTGAGCATAGCTTTTAAAACTGTTTCTGAAATATAAATTATTTGACAAAACTATCCAAGGACCTCTAAAAGATTGGATGGAATTTTTATACTCTGATTATCTGGGCTGAGTTAATGCTTATTAAAAAGAGGATTAATCTACATTCACATTTGAGAAATAGCTTATCAGGAAAGGGACCAGGGCTTGGCTGGCAACATTAAAGTTTCCATTTGGAGTAGGAAAACGTGGCCTGCTGGAGATAGGCGCTCTGAAAGCTTCCTCACCTCCAAATAGCAATTTACTACAGAGCCATGCTTTCCCTCCCCTTCTTTCCTAGCAGGCGTGAGATTAGGGTTAATCCTGTCAGACAGTAGTGCAGGTACTTTGTGTATGATACAAACTTGCAGAATCTTTTTACCATAAATCATTTGTAAATATTGTAATATATTCAAAGTATTTAATGGCATTCTAAATCATTTAAGATTGTGATTTCTGCAAAAAGTTTTTTTTTTAGAAACCTTAGCATTATTTAGTTAGTTTTAGCTAAAAACGTCCATTTATGGCTTGCGGAAAGTTCTCAGCTAAATATCCTAACAGAAACGGCTGATAAAGATTCACACCTATTTCAAATTTATGTCTGATAAGAACAAAATTACTATACTGGGGGATCAAAATCATGACTAGAATGAGATGTCCAATCACCTTTGCTCTCCCTATCCTCTTTGCTTTCAGTTTCAAAGTGGTACAACATCTCTTTGAAATGATAGCTACCTCAGAACAGCTTTCAGTTTGCTGTGGAATTTATTTTTATGTTTCTTTCTCTTTGTACATACACAAAAAGTGTTGATAAAAATACCAAATGACTTCCATTTTAGGAGTTCTAATTGTTCATTCTTATTTCTAGTCTAATTTTAATCCCATGTTCTAATAGAATTCAGTTACTTTTCATTGCTATTCAAAGTAGAACAAATCTAAAAGTTTTGGAGCACCTTTTCAAGGTGTCCTCTTATTTCCCTTGCTTTAAAAAGAAAATTAAGAAATTTTATTATGATAAGGGTCTTTTCTTTTTTTTATATATACACATATACAAAATGGAAGATTCTCATTATATAAATGGTGTGTATAGGCCGCTTTAAGTTAGTTATGTACTTCACAATGTACTATGTATTTTTGCTTTTGTGTAGAGGGTATGCAGAGGTGAATGTTATGAAGACTTTACCATTGGTTAGTATGTGCAAGTTGACTGCAACACAATTCTGTGCCTCCTCAGTTGTCCTTTCTCTAATGGCATTTATTTTTCTGGCAGCAACAGAGACTTCAGGTAGCAAGGGAGGGGAAGGATCTAAATTGGGGAGAAATACTTAGCTTCTTCTACATACCTCTTAACAGATATTTAAGGTGTAGCCCATCAGTGCCTGCCTACTTCCATATTCACAATGACATTCAGGACACTTCCTTAACTCTGTTTAAGTAGAGTAAAACAGTCACTTAGAAATCATGTAATTGGAAAGTCACATCAGATGGAAAGCTAAATAGGTGTACAGTTTTCACATTTTGTTGGGGTTATTTTCTTTATCAGGCCTCTCATACCTTCCATGTCAGTTTTCTTTTCATTAAATGTTTCAGATTAATTTTTCTTTATTGTTGTTAAATGCAATTATTAGAGGGACCTAATGAATGTTGGACACCCTGCCCATTCCTGATTCCCGGCACTTAAGTGAGCCACTAGAAAACAGAGTAGCAGTCAGTGCTCTTCGATCAAAGCAAAGACTAAGTTACGATTGTTTTATAATGCATTTGAGATGTTGCCTCAAAAATTCATAAGATCGTATACTCCAGGTGCCAGCCAGCATCCCTGAAAGCACTGGCTTACACCGTAGTACCTCAGGAAGGTTCTGATGGACCTTTGGGAATATGATCGAATCACCTTACTGTCTTGAGACAGATGCCATTAAAGGAACTTAAGGAAAGAACTGGAGAACTGTTTCTAGAAATTAAAAAAAAATATATGTGGAGTGACCATATTTGATAGTGGAAATTTGAGGGACAGATGAATTACAGGGAGATTGTACAAAGGTATTTAGTATCTGTATAGGTTCCTCAGTTTACTTAAAATATGAATCAATTCATATATTTTCATTTATTTTTATTTTTATTTTTACTAAGTTAAAAAAAACACATTGTAAATAAAATCAGTGTCTTCCAAAAATAAGATATGTTGGGTTCTCATCTCTGAAATGTATTTTCCCTTCATTCCAGTGACTGGTTTAGCTGATTCATCCTAATTTGAGGCATAATTTTAATTTGGCCATCCATAAGTTTCTAAATACAAAATATTTTGCATGATTTTCAAGCTAAGTAATTTCATCCTAAGTGAAATTATTTGCAGACTTTATCCTACTAATCATAAATATTCACATTTCCCTGCAAAAATATTAAGTATTATTGACTATAATTTGTCAATAATTGTCTAGGCCCTCTCCATACAGTGCAACTTAATACTTTTCTCAGATTTGATATATTTTGAATTTTAAACACATTTGGCTGCAAAGATTTTGAACAATCAATGATGGGCCTGAACTGATATTAATATTCTTTGGCTCATCCCATGAGCCCACTTCCATGCTGTTAGTTGTTGAATAGAATCTGGTGGCTGGAGGGAGTGGCTTCTCCAGCTGTGATTCTATTGGATGCTTGTTGGTGTTGCTAATAAGTTCCACAGTTTTATAAAGAACTCGGTTTTGTAATCATTATGTACCAGTGGAATATATTCAATAATAATTATTTGAAAAAATGTTTGTGAGTGTTGGATGATGAAACCAAGCACTGAGTACATCACTATCTATTAAATACAGTTCACATGTATTGTAACTGGCTGCTCAACTCAATGCTTATCAGTGCACCTAAACCCTAAAGGCTCTATGACGGTGAGGAATATGCTGTCAGCCTATGTCACCCATGTCATTGGTCTCTCTTGTTTTAGTTTCCATTATTTGCATTTTATGCATTCCTTCTAATTAGAATACTCATATATTAATAACAAACATCATGATTCCAGTCCTAACTGGTTTGGCTCAGTGGATAGAGCATCAGCCTGCAAACTGAAGAGTCCCAGGTTCGATTTCTGGTCATGGGCATGCACATAGGTTGTGGGCACATCCCTAGTGAGGAGTGTGCAGGAGGCAGCTGATCCATGTTTCTCTCTCATTGATGTTTCTAACTCTCTATGCCTCTCCCTTCTTCTCTGTAAAAATCAACAAAATGTATATATTTTAAAAGTCATGGTTTCATAATCCTCAAGTATAACTTGTCAGCTTTAATGGCCCTAAATATATACCGGTACACCAATTGTAACATTTGACATTCAAATACAACTTATCCCTTTGACTTAACCATACCTTTGGCTTAAAGAATTTTTAAATGTCTTATTAAAGTTGGAGCAAGTGATTGCTTTGCCCTGAGCCAAACCATTCCTTTCTACTCCCTATACAATTACGTTAATTATATTTTATTAAAATTCCCAGAGGCCTCAGCTCTAAACTAAAGGCCAATATGTACTTTTTATTAGTTATAATTAATATTGACTGTGTGTGTGTGTGTGTGTGTGTGTGTGATTTTTTTTTTTACAGTTACATTTCAAAGAGGAGATGGAGGACTAATAAGCAATGGAAGGTATGTTAAGGAGATTCCTTTTTTATTGTTATTACCATTTGTAATCAGGACAAGGGAAACTCTAAAGTAAGAGACATTATTGTAATAAACGATCACTTACACGTCTGAGAATTCTAGGAGGAATTAAATGGCTTACCACAGGTTTAATGATCTATCTGTTGTGCACTTTAGAGAAATCAAGTCCAGATGTTTCATATCTCCCAGATGTCCCTGAAGAAATTAGTAGTAAATATCACAAGGAATGTGTTCATTTGTTAGCAGGATTTTTATTGCATTAATTAGACATTAGCAAATGAAGTTGCTATTGTTTAAGACTCCTTATTGGCTCTCACTAAATTGCAGTGAGTGAACAATTACACATAATCGATCACAAAGTAAATGATTCATGTATGATGAATAGGCTGTAGATTGATAGGACTGGATTCCACAACTTTAGATACTCAATTGAAATTGATAAAAGCTGATAACAAACTCATATATCCTCATCTATTTTCCCTTTGCCAATAAGGAGATTGTAATTAGGCTCTGGTAATAACTTCCAATCTCCTATTTAATCAATATTTTTGCAAAAAGAGATTAGGTTTAATGAGAATTATTGTACGTAGCAAGAAAGCAGTTGGATCTGCTTATTGCGGTTTTCATAGAAACTTGTGCTTCTCTTAAGAATTGTACCAGAGAGTCTATAAAAAAGGAAGTACAATGGTTATAAATGTTGCTATTTTTGTAAATAATTTAATAATTTGTACAGGAATTAGAATCTCCATCTTTAATATTAAAAGTATGAATTCTTTATTAACTAGGATGTGAAGAAAGTTTTCTTCATGGACTTTATGCACATGCTGTATGAGATCACAGTGGATCTTTTATTAACTTAGAAGAAAACTATATTATACCCCTTATATTTTGCAATTTACAGAACCTGGAAATGTGCTATTGATGGAACAGAATAAATACTATTCATTAACTTTCCTCAAGCTTTTTGCCCTAAATCAAACATGAGGCTCATAACAGGGGTTACAGCATTCTGGGGACAGATAAATATGGGGCTTGCAGGAATCAAGGAAGCAATAGCCCCAAGTCCTGGAAATGGCTGATACTGAGCACTCATTCTGAGCAATTGTTTCCTTGAGGTGCCAATTCATCATCAAACCTCGTTTGGGGATCCTGCTACATTACTGATTCCTACCAGTTTCAGAGCAAATGACAAAATTTATTTGATGTCAGCAGAATCCCAGGTGGGACCCTTTGCTACCACTAACTTCTCTATATAGCCTAAAGAACTTCCAAAGTTCCTTACTTTTAGAAAGCCTACACATTTTAATTTGAAGTAAATTAAAATCTTAAATTCTTAAATTAATTTCAGTGCATGAGACAGGTGTTCACATCCCCCACTGAGCTCCACCAATTGATTTCTTTTTAATTTCTCTTTTAGCCGTCCAGGTCTTTTAAATGCTGGAGACCCCAATTATCCCTGGCTTGCTGACTCATGGCCAGCCACAAGCTTGCCAGTCAACAATAGCAATAGTGGCCCAAATGAGATTGGGAATTTTGGGCGCGGAGGTAAGTTATCTTTTCAAAATTTTGTTATTTGTTTTCTTGGATTTTCTAGATTTTTAAAAAAAGATATACCAAAGAGTATTTTTCATATTCAAAACTAGTGAAACACGTGTACTAATAAGCACAGTACATTTTCAGAATATTTTATTATAAAACTATTTTCCTATATTACCTTGAGTAAAACTAAGTTTTAAGGAAGTCATTACTAACCAAGAAGATAAATACCCATAATACATTTTGTTTTTAAGACTTTTCACTATGCTGCTATACAGGGCTTATAATTTTGTCTAGTTATTTCACTTCTCTCATTCATTCATCATATATTTAATGATCATGCCCTTTGTACCTGGCATTATGGCAGACAGAAAATATATAATATTAATATGATGAAAAATGGTCTTTATGCTTATATAATATATTAAATACCTGAAGTAAACATGTTGAGTGAGAACTTTCCTATAGTTCTGTAATTGATATCTGGTCCTTCAAATAAAAGACAATAAGGTGCTAAGTAGCTGACATGCTGAAGTATCCAAAATTTGGTGCCAGAGTTCTTTCCATAGATCTTTATAGGGAGACAGGATTGGACCAATTATAAACACTCACCACTCCCCCCACCTCCATCCAATCAATAAAAGATCAGTGGGTTTAGAGAAAGACTTGACTAGAGAAGTCTCTGGTCCCAGTGTTTAATTTGGCACATATATATGAGTCTGCTATTGGCAGAAATTTTTGCAGACAGCAAATGGACTTGAGCTGTGCTGCTGATATCCCACATGAAAGCTGCCCATTGGAAGAAAGACAGTTCTATGAATGGAGTGTTACTTAAGTTGATATCTGAAGGAGAGAGAAGAATTAGTAAAAAAACAAAACAAAACAAAACAAAACAAAAATGTGACAAAAGGTGTGTGGAGAATAAGCTAGCATAATTTAAGGCACAGATATAAGGTAGATATTGATCTATTTGAGAAATTAATTATATAGTGACTTAGCATGAAATGCAAGACAGCAGAAGTGGTAAAAAAAAAAAAATCACAGATTGCCTTCAAAGCCTCACAGAAACTATAAACATTTTCCAAAGCATGACCAGAAGCCACTCATAGATTTCTAAGAGGAGACTGCTAGGCTCCAAATACTGCTTTAAGTCATCCAGCCTGTTGCTGGGTGAAGAAAGAAGCTACAGTGAAAAAAATGAGGCGATTAATTAGGAAAGTATTGCTGTAATTCAAGAAAGTTTGGATAAATCCAATGGAAGATTTCTATATTTCTAGGTAGAATTATTGTAGGAAACACAGGGCTAGATTCAACTATTCTGAGTCTACTAGCCCCAGTGGTGGATTTCACAGGTATGAATATATAAAGATATTGACTTAAAAGGATGCTGGCTTTTTCTTTTTAAAAACAGAATACCACCTAGTCGATGTGGCTTAGTGGTTGAGTGTTGACCCATGAATCAGGAGGTAATGGCTTCCTTCTCAGTCAGGGCACATGCCAGGCTTGAAGGCTCAATCTCCAGTAGTGGGTGTGCAGGAGGCAGCTGATTAATGATTCTCTTCATCATTGATGTTTCTGTCTCTCCCTCTCCCTCTCTCTGAAATCAATAAAATAAATAAAGTTATTTTTCTAAAAAAAGAATGGAATACCCGTGCCAATTTGAATATCATTAAAACAGTATTTCAAATAATACTATTAAGTATTGTATAAGCACTTATTATAGTTGGTATTAACAGAATGCATATAAGTATGCATTCTGTTAATACCAACTATAATAAGGTGACTCCCTCCCATTCTCCAAATAAAATACAGAAACTAATCATTAGGTGTGTAATGAGAATTAAATGGAACACACACACACACACACACACACACACACATACACACACGGGTTTAGCACAAACTTTACCATACAATCAATGCTTAATATGCATCATTGGAGTAAATAAGAGAACAGAAAGTAAGTTTTAAGATCATTCCACTTCTAGTTTTCTTTCTATAATTTAGTAGACCCTGTTTAGGATTCTTACATGATCAGAGCCTCTGAAAGTGGCTGCCTTCTCTACTTGACCAAACTCTGAGCCTGCACTATGAGTTATCACTTCACCATGAGTAAGTTCTGTACTTGAATATCTCCTCACCAGGTAGGCAGAACATGCCCCCTTGATCTACCTAGACTACCTGTGTCAAAAGAAATTCTGTTCCCAAAACTCTTTTTTAAAATTTACCTTTATTGAAAATATTAAACATTTCCAAATTTCCCCCTCTAGACCTCTTTCACCCACTTACACCCCCTCTCCAAGCCTTCCCACACTATTGTCTGCCCATGGGCTATGCATATATAAGTTCATTGGTTAATTGCTTCTCACCTGAGCCTTTCCCTCTGAAATACATCTATCTGTTGCATGCTTCTTTGTCTATGGGTCTATTTTGTTCATCAGTTTATTTTGATAATTAGATTTCACATATAAATGAGATCATGTGATACTTGTCTTTCTCTGACTGGCTTAGTTCACTTAGCATAGTACTCGCCAGGTCCCTTCATGCTATTTCAAAAGGTAACAGGTCCCTTTTTACAGCTGCATAGTATTCCATTTTATAAATGTACCACATTTTTTAGTCCATCCATCTATTGATAGGCACTTGGGATACTTTGTGATCTTAGCTATTGTAAATAATGCTACTATAAACATAGGGGTACATATATTCTTTCTGATTGGTGTTTCTGGCTTCTTAGGATATATTCCTAGAAATGGGATCACCGAGTCAAATGGCAGTTGCATTTTTAATTTTTTGAGGAAACTCCACACAGTTTTCCATAGTGGTTATATCAGTCTGCATTCCTACAAGTAGTATGCTAGCATACGTTTTTCTTCAAATCCTAGTCAGCACTTGTTTGTTGATTTATTGATGCTAGCCATTCAGACAGGTGTGAGGTGGCAACTCATTGTCACTTTAATTTGCTATGCTAAAACTTTTTATTTTGATGTAGTCCCAATTGTTTATTTTTTACTTTTGTTTCCTTGCCCTAGGCAATGTATCAGTGCAAATTCTGCTAAGTGAGATGTCTGATATTTTGCTGCCTATGTTTTATTATGGGAGCTTTGTGGTTTCATGTATTACATTTAAGTCTTGTATCCATTTTAAGTTTTTCTTGTGTAGAGTGTAAATTGGTCTAGTTTCATTTTATTTTTTGAATGTACCTGTTCAATTTTCCCAACACCTCTTATTGAAGACGCTGCTTTGACTCCATTGTATGCTCTTGCCTCCTTTGTCAACTATTAGTTGAACATAATGACTTGGGTTGATTTCTGTGTTTTCTGTTCTGTTCTATTGATCAATATGACTGTTCTTGTGCCAATACCAGGCTGTTTTGATCATAGTGGTTTTGTAGTATAGCTTGATGCCTCCAATATTGTTCTTCTCAAGATTACTATGGCTACTTAAGGTCTTTTTTTATTATTCCATATAAAATTTTTGAGTATTTGTCTAGATATGTGAAATATGCCATTGATATTTTAATAGGATTTTTAATCAGTCATTGGATAACTGCCTATTCTACATTTTGTGTTTGTATTGGAATAACACACCATTCAATTTTCATATAAATAAATAAATACCTGATGATGGAGGAAAATAATTATTTTTCAATTTCTAGCAGGTTACACTAACATCTAAATTTTCTCCATCTAATATAGCCAAATCAAATTTGTTGATTTTCAAAGTTTTGCTTATATTTCTACCTCATTTCCATAACATGAAATATATTACAGATGAACATCAAGGCCAAGCCAATGTTTTTGCAGGATCTACAGAATCTATTTTCAGTGGTAGGCATTTTAGACATTTACTATATACAAAAAATAGTGTTGAAAACTTTTGTACTTTTTTCATTTTCTTCGCATGATAGATATTTGAGCTAGATAAACCTATTTCATTTTTAAAGGTAAAAAACAAAACAAAACACTAATGTTTTCAAAATGATTAATTTGGTATCTGGGTTTAGAATGCAAGTCTGACAGATTCAAGAACCAAGGTTCTAAAGACAGAGCTCACAGTTAGGATTATAGTGCAGCCATATTCACTGAAAAGAATTATCATGTACACTGACATTCCCCTTTAAAAATGGAATACCAATACATTTTGAATGATAAAGTTTCTTATTGTTGCATACGTCTGCATTTTGACAATACAAATTATTAAAAATATATTTAATCAGCCGAAACCGGTTTGGCTTAGTGGTAGAGCGTCGGTCTGTGGACTGGAAGGTCCCAGGTTCGATTCTGGTCAAGGGCATGAACATTGGTTGTGTGCACATCCCCTGTAGGGGGTGTGCAAGAGGCAGCTGGTCGATGTTTCTCTCTCATCGACGTTTCTAGCTCTCTATCCCTCTCTCCTCCTCTCTGTAAAAAAAAAATCAATAAAACATATTAAAGAAAAAAAGAAAAAAAAGAAAAAAATATATATATATAACCATTAAGTGAGTGCTTAAACTCTGTGAAATACTATGTGAGGAAAATATGGGAATACAGACATAAATCTTTTATGTTTCTGCCCTCAAGTAACTATGATACAATAATGGATACAGACATTTATATAATTAAGTATGCCAGGACAAAAAAATAAATAAATAAATTCATTCTTAGTCAAGATATTAGAAAATTACAGAAGGATTCATGAGTGATTCCAACTGGATAGAAGGTTTTCTGTCATTCATAGGTTTCAAACTCAAATGTTAACAAGTGCCAGTCAGCCAACCTGAAGTGCTAAGGTTGGTAGATGTGAGGTGTGCAAAATGGAAGATAGGAAGCCTGCCTAAAGATGGCAGCACCTATTCTTGTGCAAGCTTTTTGGGGAAGGCTGGCCAGGTTCCAAAGCATCTGATATTAAAGGATTTCCCCCACACCCACATATTATGCATATGCTTCCAATTTTTCAATGGTACATTTTTTAAAATGTAAGAGTGATCAAATAATATTTGAAGATAATATGCAGCCTCCCAAAAATCAGTAGAGAGCACTTGGACTTGAAAGCTAATTTCATCCAGCAGAAAGATAAATTTTATTTTAGAGCCACAGCCTTAGCTGTTGCAGAATAACATTGAACATACAACCACTTTAAAAGCTTGTTGTTGGAGTGACTCCCAATTTAAATCTCAAAGCTCAAGTTCAAGGTATTGGGAAGTTGGGTCCCATGCCAGTTAATATTTATCAGTGAAAGACATTGTGGAAGTGGCAGAAACTGAAAACTTCCCCAGAGTGAAGGATTTATTTCCATGATTTTTATATAATATCAAATATTAAAAGTTTTGATAATAAAAATGGTAGTGGCACTTGAGAATGAAATATGCTGCTTCATCATCAAATTTTCAAAATGAGTTTATAACTAAAAGCAAGAACGACAAGAAAGTAGTTGTGAAATTCTGAAATTGCAAAATGATTTTACTTGCTTATACACCTTGATGAAATGTTTAAATTTGAATATGTTTAACAATCTATTCATTTAAAATATTTACTTCAATAAAGTATATATCCACTTAAATGTAAAACAATTTGGAATTTCAGACTTCAAAATTTTCAAAAAGACCTAAATATACAGTGTACAAAATCTTTCTATATAAAAGCCCAGTCACCAAATGCTAGAATGACCAGAATGATTGGTGGACTATGATGCTCACTGACCACCAGGGGCAGACGCTCAACTCAGGAACTGCCCCCTGGTGGTCAGCACACTCCCACAATGGGAGCACTGCTCGGCTGACTGGGATGAGCAGCTGCTCCCACAGAAGGCTGATCCCCACAGGCAACACCCCCCCATCAGTGCATGAATCCATGCACCAGGCCTTAAGCTATACTAATAAAAGGGTAATATGCAAATCCGTCATGACACACTCACAATACAACTGAACAGCAAGCTGCATGGGGTGGCCAGGCCAGAAGGAGGGTTAGCGAGGGCCGAGCAAATGACTGGCCAGCGGGCTGTGTAGGGTGACTAGGCCGACAAGAAGGGCAGTGAGAGGTGATCAGGCCGGCAGAGGTTGGCAGTGAGGGGTGAACAAGCCAGCGGGGGGGGGGGGGGGGGGGGGGGCAGTTGGGGTTGACCAGGCTGCTGTGGGGGGAGCAGTTGGGAGTGACCAGGCAAGCAGGGAGGGGCATTTGGGGGCAACTGTACTGGTGTGGGGTGCAATTAGGGGCGACCAAGCCAGCAGAGGGGGGCAGTTAGAGGCAATCAGGCTGGCAGGCAGAGGCAGTTAGGAGCGATCAGGCTGGGCTGAGGGGGACACCCACCTGTGCACAGATTTCATGGACCAGGCCTCTAGTACATTATAAATGTCTTGTTACTGTTGTAAAGAAGACAATTTTTTTTTTAGTTTTTTTTAAATATAAAAAGAATATAAAAATTTTTATTTTTCAAGTACTATTAGCTACCATTGAAAACTTTGAGGATATTTGATTAAGTTCCTATTTAAACTTCCTCTTTGTGATGAAAATTGGTTTTTGGTACTAACATGATTTGGTTTATTATTTCATGTTACAGTACTATAACTAGTTGAAAATTTTCTACAATGAAGAATTAAAGTTGGTTGATGACTTCAAATTTTACAAAGTATGGCTTTTAAAATATAGATTAAGAAACATGTTGTAAATAGATTCACTTTTAACTCTCCATGATTAAAAATGGTGTTATTCAGTTATTTATTTATTTATTTTAGTTATTCTGAATTATAAAGCATCACATAAAGCTAATTCAGCACACCAAAATAATTAATAAGTGGACTGTTTGATATTCAGTGTAGTTCCTAAAGTTTAATTTTACTCTTGTATTACAATTTGAAACTCTAATTCTCCGCTTGTAAGAGTTGGTAAAATAACAAACTCTGATCACTCAGATTGCTTTTTATGGAGTTAAATCCTGCTGTATTGTGAAAATGGCATATTCATAAAAATTTTCTTTTGTTATCCAAGAAAAAGAAATTGGTACCATAACTTGCACTCCATTCTTGAAGCTGTGAAGTCAAATCAGATAAACAGCAAATTGAAACTTCAGAAAAATGTACCTCATAGTTCCATAGTATGATTTTGGAATTTTTTGCATATATATTCAAGCAGTTGTACTTTATGTCCTTTGGAAAAATATTTTTTCATCCATTGTTTGTATATTCAAACTTATTGCTTCTGAAAAGCAGTAATACTTTTATTGGTCCTAAAACAGAGTGAACAACTGAAAGCATTTTTTAGTAGTGGAATATCTCAAAATTCTCATTCATAGAAGAAGAAAATGGGGAAAGACGTCTGGTAAGCAGCGAGACATGAAGGACGAGCGGTAGGCCTGCCTGTCACTGGGCTGACAGCTTGGCGAAGGTTGTACATCATCTATCCTTCATTGGCTCATGAAACCCATTTCAGCTGAAATGCAAACATGCAGGATGACACATATATTTTTCATCTTCAGTTCTGATAGTTCTGGGCTGTCTGTGCATCATTAAATTGTTTCATTTTCCTATGTTCACCACAGATGTGCTGCCACCGGTTCCAGGCCAAGGGGATAAAACAGCAACGATGCTCTCAGATGGAGCCATTTATAGCAGCATCGACTTCACTACCAAAACTACTTACAACAGCTCTAGCCAAATAACACAGGCTACCCCATATGCCACGACACAGATCCTGCATTCCAACAGCATTCATGAATTGGCTGTCGATCTGCCTGATCCACAGTGGAAAAGCTCAATTCAGCAAAAAACAGATCTGATGGGATTTGGTTATTCTCTACCTGATCAGAACAAAGGTAACAATGGTGAGTTAGGTCCTTATTTCTTGAGGATTTCTTTTTGTATCATTTGTGCATGAGATAGAAATTAGTATTCACTGTTCAGTTCGGTGATTCATTACCAGGTTCACTAAACTAAAAGCATATATTAGCATGTATTCATGTACCTCTCACAATTCCTACCACCACCACTACTGCCAACCCACCACCACCATCACCACTGCCACCGTTGCTACTACCAAACACTGACACTGATCGTTTTCATCCTCTTAGCTCTTTATCAATAGTGATCAGTAATCCATCTCAACTTCCATTAGGCAGGCTAGGCCAAACATTCCTCCACTGTCCTCCAACATCTGCTTCTGAATTGCTAACTGCATGTTCTGCATGGGCTTGTGCTGTGAACTAATCACATGATGCCACTGTGACCTCTGCCCTTTAACCCTTAGCCTTACTTTACATCCCTGACTACCGATTGGCTGAGGGATTGTCTAATAGAATGCCACACAACCAGTCACAGGATTTCAGCACCACCAGCTCTCACAACAGCTCAGAGCGGAGTGGCAGTCTCTCAGGTTGGTCTCATCGAAGTAAGGAGAAATATTTGTTTGTCACCAGCATATGACCTGTGTTCCTAAGAACCATGAGGAAAAGTGAATCACAAGTCATGATCAGGCATTTATCTTTCATGACAATAGCAGTTTATTATCCTAATGAAATCATCCTTGCCTATAGGGATAAAAATCACTGTCACTCCTTCTGTACTAATATATGAGGATAGATTTACTGAAAAATAGTGCCATTTTACTGAATACTGTTCATTAAAGAGTGGTAAAGAGTGGATGTATTTGATCTGTCTTGAACCTTACTTAAGTCTCAAGAGAACTTTACAGTAAAATACTCATAAGAGAAAGTCAACTACATGGTGTGGACACTAAAAAATGAGTTCAAATGAAATGCAAATAATTTTGGAGATTTTTTCATATTAGGATTTCAGTGATATTTTGGAGATTCTTTATAATATGTTATGTAATATATTTATTGTCTATTAAATGACATTATTTAAAGTAAGGTGCTAACACCATCTATATATATAAAAGCCTAAGTGGCCATTCTACCAGTAGCTATGACATGTACTGATCATCAGGGGGCACAGGCATTTGCACAGGCATGGAAACATGGACCTACTGAAGAATCTCAGAGAGAATAAGGGAGGGAAAGTGGGGGGAGAGATTAATCAAAGATCTTATGTGGATACTAGAGGCCTGATGCACGGATGTGTGCACTGGTGGGGTCCCTCAGCCTGGTCTGCAGGGATCAGGCCAGAACCAGCTCTCCAACATCCCCCGAGGGGCTCCTGGATTATGAGAGGGCACAGGCCAGGCCGAGGGACTGCCCGCCTCTGGTTCACGAATACATGCACCGAGCTTCTAGTACTAAAAAGAATGGTAATATGGGATATTCCCTTCACATTTAATTCCCCCCCCCAAATATATTCTCTCATATTGATAACTTTTCTATACTGTAAATTTTAATATATATTTGAGATGTATTAGCCAAACTAACAACTATAATGTAGGTATTGTATAGGGGAAAACACATTTTACAGGACAGGAATATATACCTGTCATAAGGAATATCAGTGATATCCTCCAGGCCAAAAGATCCTCACCTCTAAAATTCAGAAGTTGTAGTAGGCATACTCTAACTTCCAACCATAACATGGATGTTGTATGACTTATTACTTTATTTGCACATTTCTAATTAATTCCATGACCTTACTTGCTTAATTTTTCATATTCATGATATCCCATATTTTACAAAGTTGTTTTCTTTTTTTTCTTTTTTTTAACTATTGGCATTTTAGTAAAGGAATATAATATATTATATGTTATAAAACTACCAGGAATCAAGACCATAACGAGTTAATTCTTCTCATCATTAGGGTAACTTTTACTAAATGACTTTTCCTCAGGAGATAGAACCCTTTCAATCTGAAAATGTTAATGCTCTTTTATCCCTTTACAATGGGCCATTTGCTCTTCTCACATCTTGGTAGAATTAAATACATTATATAATCCAGAAAATTTTAAACATCTATTATGAATTGAAACTGGCTTAATAAAATAGAAGACTTTTTTGAACATCTTTATATGTCATTTATACTGTCACTTATTTATAATGAGGCTCACAATAGCCCTGAATAATTAAAAAGTAATTTATGTTAAGCTTATTTTATTCAAGATATGTACTCTCAAGCAATATACATATAAAAGCTATCTATATGCTGTAACCCATAAGATCCTCTGTGAATCCTTCATAAAAATATTCTGTATATGTTGATTGCCACTGAGTTTTAGAAGTTATTTTTTGAGTAATTGTAAGTTGAACACAATTCACAATAGTGCTTATTTCTTTTTGAATACATTAATCTCCAGAGTGACATTTACATATATCTATGCATAGCAGTAACTACTTCATCTACATTTGAATGTAAAGTCACTTAAATCAGTGATAGAAAGCATTCTTTAGGAGGTAGAAGTGAATTTAATATTCCCTTTTAGTTGAGTTCAATGATAGACTTTGTTTTAGTCTTATAATAATGAGTATGTTTCCTAAGGCTCAAGTTTAGGATCAAACTGCCCTATAGATATCTAATGATACCATATTATAAGATTTTCTTAATTTGTGCACAGTTATGAAACCAGTTTAAAATAATTGCAGTAATAAAGAAAATTGGACATTTCAGAATTATTTTAGTGAATTTTTCATCCTCTTTAAAACTTTTATAATTTGTTCAATACATAAGTTATGAACACTTCCAGCAATAAAAAAATATAAAAGAAAACGCATGTCTTACAAAATAGCATCTGTATCATAATTTTATATATGTAGGATATCCCAAAATGTATACACACACTTTGAAGAATTATAAGGGCAGTGTTTATTAAAATACATTTAATTTTCAATATTGAAATATCAGTTATTAAAGTGTGTATACATTTTTTGGGATTTTCCCTGTATACACGTGTATGTGCAGTTCAATATCAGCATCAATAACTAAATCTTTTTACATGGCAGTATTTTAAAAATAGATTATAAGTTTAATTTAAAAATTAGCTGTATTCATAGGTTTCTCTGCATAGAAGGCATGCATTAAGCATACATAAATGTAAATCCAAATATTTACATTTTGCATTGAAGAGAGATTGGTCAAATGTATTTGCAAGCCATCAAAATATGTTCTCCTAAAATGTAACACAGGCAGTTCACTTTGAAATGCTTGAGGATCTTTCTTTGCAATTAACAGTAACAAAGTATGACTCAGTTCAAGTTTTAGATCTCAGATAGAGATTTTTATTTCCTTAATTTATATCATATGCCCACCACAAAGAATCTACCTGTCCTGGCTCATTGCTATAAGAAGGCAAAGCATGTTGATTGATAATACTATTAAGATTGTCTACAATAAGAGTACAGAAATTTCCCTAAAGAGGGAAATGTGTATATTCAGTGGAAAGTCCTTACAACTTTACTAAATGAATCTGTTTCCACAATACATTTTTAAGTCTGTTGTTTGGATAATGGCTTTCTTGACCTTGGATAGGGATTTCAACAGATTTGGGTTCAGAAATACTATTGATAGTTCCCCAAAAGCTGCTGCATTTTATTATTTTTTAAAATTTTTTCTTTTACTGTGTAAATATGGGTCATACAACACTCAGAAAGCATCTATGCCTTCTCCTGAAATGGAGCTGTGAGAATATGCCTATTTATGTCACTCAGTTTGGGTAGTGAGCATGTTGCATTTCTAAAAGTGTTATGAAAAGTGGCCGAAGCCGGTTTGGCTCAGTGGTAGAGCGTCGGTCTGCAGACTGAAAGGTCCCAGGTTCGATTCCGGTCAAGGGCATGTACATTGGTTGCGGGCACATCCCCAGTAGGGGGTGTGCAAGAGGCAGCTGGTCGATGTTTCTCTCTCATCGACGTTTCTAGCTCTCTAGCTCTCTCCCTTCCTCTCTGTAAAAATCAATAAAATATATATTAAAAAAATAAGTAAATAAAAGTGTTATGAAAAGTGAAAAAACATTGTACACCCATAAATATAAAGAATAAAGGAGGCATAACGAGGGGAAAAGCTATGGGCCTTGTGTCCCAGCTCATTCCTTTTTTAACTGAGATATTGTTCTGATGCTACTGAAAAAATGTATAGTCCTTGTTTGGTTGGGTTATCAGAAAACAGAGGATTAAGGCTCACTATCTATACTAATAATAGACGAATATATAAATTGACCATACTTCCATGATACCCACAGCCAATCAGGAGAGAGTATGCAAACTGACCCAACAAAGATGGTGGGTCTGTGGGCAGTGTGCTCCCGCCAGATGACAAGCATCTGGGGTTGGATACCTGCAACAAGCAAACAGACAGTGGAGCCCTGCTTGCCCCTGGCCATGGCAGCAAGGGACAAGCAGTCCCCCTCAACTAGTGAGCAGACAGCAGTTCCCCACAATGCACAAGCAGACAGCAGGGCCCTGCTTGCCCCTGACCATGGCAGTGAGGGGCAAGCTGTCCCCTGTAGTGAGTGAGCAGACACCAGGGCCTTGCTTGCTCCTGGAACTGGCAGCGAAAGGCAAGCAGACTTCCTGAGAGTGCAAACACCAGGGCCTGTGGTGTCCCCAAGCACGCAGGTCTGCAGAGAGCAGAGAACCATGGGGAGCAGGCCTATGCCATCAGTAGGACACCCCTGAGGGCTCCCAGATTGGAGAGGGTACAGGTCGGTCTGAGGGAACCTCCCTCCTGCCCCCCCCCACACACAAATTTTGTTCACTGGGCCCCTAGTCTTAAATAAAAACAATAGAGATGTGAATTCAAACAGGTTATTATTCTTATCTGAAAATCAGACTATTCCTGGGACACTTTGTCTTGGAGGAGTTGGATGTGGCAAAGACAATCAGAAAATAGTAGGAATGATTGACATTTACTGAGCATTCTTTATATTCTGAGTCCTCTACATGCATTATCTCTTAAAACCCTCAAAATGCCTAAAGAAGTAGTAACTATGTTTTACATGTGTGAATATCAAGGTGATATCTATTGAGAAACTTATCGAGTAATTGAGAAACTAGTCTTCAAACCCAGAGATCAAGCTCTTATCCTTGAACCTGAAGATCGCTCCTCTCTGTACTCTAAATATCTCTCATTCTACCAAAGATAAAAGTTAAAGAAAGGGTGAAAGCACTTCATTTTCAGAAATGCTTTTTTGCATATAAGTGTTTTATACACACTACCTAGAAAATATAGTAATTTAATAGTTTAAGCACTTTTGGGCACTGGAATAAGTTATTATTAAATTACATAATTTTTTTTAATTAGTGAATGCAGACTAGTAATTGAGAGAAAGTGATATCACTATTGCTAGATAACCATGTTGCAAATATTTGATTCTTACAACTTTTAGTTCCAAAAAGATAAAATCCAAGGAGTCAGTACCTTTTTTTTTTTTTCTTTTCCCTGAGTTACTACAGATAGTTGTGGGAGTGATAACAGTTTCTTAGCTTCCCTTTAATCATTCTTGGTCATTCTGCTCAAGAAGTAGTAATTCCAGCATCCACCATAGTTCAGTTAGGAAGAAAGTTCATTTACTTAATTTTAAAAGAGTGAAAAATTTTCTTTTATATTTTATTAAACTCCTATAATTCTACACATGGCCTATATGCCACTGTGTTACCTTCTGCTAATGTTTTGCTCATACATTCATTTGTATATTACAATAGTAGTAAAACTGATTACTGTATTTCCATTCACTTTCTTTTATTTTTGGAATTTAGGAAATGGTTTGCTTAAAGCATTTGGGAACTATGCTCACTATATGCAAATAAATAAATAAATAAATAAATAAATAAATAAATGTATTGGTCATTAGTTAAAATTTTTATAAAACATATTAGTATGAAAAATTTACAACTTATCCTCTGGTATAGTTGATTGATTTTTAAACTGTTATTCTCCTGGATTAATTAAATTGAGTAAATTCTAATGTAAAAGTTTAGCCTATATCCTTAGACACTGCATTTTCCACTAAGAGAGGTTATGCAGAAGAGCATTATAAATACATTAAAATCTGACATTTGAAAAATGTTATGGCCCATTGTTTCCTCTAACAATGAAAATGTGGAGGCAGCACACATGCATAAATCAATAAATGTGCTTTTCCCATAGCAGCCATATATTTGGTTTACTCAACTCTGTAGTTTATGGGATGGGAAGGAGACAATACTATTTTGGGTGATTTATAAAAAATGTTTTCTGATTATATAATGCCATTGTTTATGGCTTTTAACACTGTGACATACCGATCCTGGTGTTTTAAATACATAAATACATAGTCTCCTCTGATGTCCTTTGTTTCTTCTGATTTTTGGTATGTCTGAATAAGTGCATTATTACTTTTAGGTGGAAAAGGTGGAAAAAAGAAGAAAAATAAAAACTCATCTAAACCGCAGAAAAACAATGGATCGACTTGGGCCAATGTTCCTCTACCTCCTCCCCCTGCCCAGCCCCTTCCTGGTTCAGAGCTGGAACACTACACAGTGGAACAGCAAGAAAATGGGTAAAAATGTTTTATAGACCAAGAAAATGTCCAGGCTGCACTACCTCTCTATTGTACATGCTTGTCTTTATCTTATATGCTCTAATTGCTTTCTCTGCCCCCTTCCCAGCCTGTTCACTGCTTATCCCGTCTTTTATTGTTTACGGCATCTATATGTTTTTAGCTGACAAATACAACATAGCACCTACTGAGGACCTAGAATCCTTGGCCTTCAAGTGCCTTAGATTGTCTGCAATCATGATAATGCAACCTCCATTTATAATATTGCTTGTTAGTTTGAAAGCAAGTACCCATGGCTCTGTGAACTAAAGAGCCACTCCTGAGAAGAGCTGAAAAGGGAATTAAAATAACCTTCATCATTCCTCACAATTCTCTAATGACTTGATGTCTGGCCATAGCAGGGCGCCCACTGTTGAGCTCCCTCACAATGGGATAATTGTAGAGACCTGGCCAGTGTGTAGAAATTTAATCATCAGCTTTGATGGGAACTTAGGGGCCTGAACAATAAAAGAGGTTCAAGCCAATACACACTCTGTAACACAACCTTTTAAAGTTAGAAAATGTCCTTTGAGCCGGGACCGGTTTGGCTCAGTGGATAGAGCATCAGCCTGTGGTCTGAAAGGTCCCAGGTTCGATTCCGGGCAAGGGCATGTACCTTGGTTGCGGGCACATCCCCGGTGGAGGGTGTGCAAGAGGCAGCTGATCGATGATTCTCTCTCATCGATGTTTCTAACTCTCTATCTCTCTCTCTTCCTCTCTGTGAAAAATCAATAAAATATATTAAAAAAAGAAGAAAAAAAAAGAAAATGTCCTTTGAGGGCCTTTAAATATGGCCATTTTCTTTATTTTTCCCTAAACATCTCACAAGAATTAGATTGTTTTCTTGATACTTGTGTTAATAGATTTTAAAGCACAAGATATCAGTACATTTTATTCACTAATCTGGAAAATAGCAAGGCAGAAAAGAACATAGTCTGGTTTTCTTTTTTAATAATGGTAATTGCTGTATCATCTTCACAGTTTCTAAGGTCACCATTGCTTTTGAGTAAAACTGAAAAATAGAGAATAAAGGCAGTTTTCCTTTTTCTAAGTTTTTCTTTACTTGGAAGTTTTTAGATATTAAAATACTATAGTAAATATTTAATTAGGTATTACAAGTCAGTTATTTAAATAATAATGTCTATTTTCTGTCTTGTTTCCCATTAAGATCATATGTACATGTTTATACATTGTTTTTCCATATTTTTTACATACCTGCTTTCTTTAAAGTCTTCAAATTATTTTTTTTTCTGTCATAATGTTTGTATCCAAAAAAGGTCTATTTGTCTTTTCTTCCAGTTATATAATATGCATCCTTCTCTTTTTTTTTTCCACCCAAAGGGCTTCATTTGTTTCTATGGAATTACACTGAGTGGCCAGATTATTATGATCTTTGAACACATAATAATCTGGCCACTCGCCAAAACTGGTTTGGCTCAGTGGATAGAGTATTGGCCTATCCACTGATGCGGACTGAAAGGTCCCATGTTCAATTCCGGTCAAGGGCATGTACCTTGGTTGCGGGCACATCCCCAGTAGGGGGTGTGCAAGAGGCAGCTGATCGATGATTCTCTCTCATCGATGTTTCTAACTCTCTATCCCTCTCTCTTCCTCTCTGTAAAAAATCAATAAAATATATTTTAAAAAATAATAATAATCTGGCCACTCAGTGTATATCCTATATAATAAAAGGCTAATATGCAAATTGTCCTCTCAACCAGGAGTTTGACCAGCAGGCAGGCCAGCCTGCACCATTTCCAATCTGGGACTCCTCAAAGGATGCCTGACTGTCCTCTCATAATCCAGGATTGCTGGCTCTCAACTGCTCACCTGCCTGCCTGTTTACCTGATTGCTCCTAACTGCCTCTGCCTACCAGCCTGATCACGCCCTAACCACTCCACTGCCAGCCTGATCAACACCTAACTGCTCCCCTGCTGGTCTGATTGCCCCTAACTGCCCTCCCCTGCCAGCCTGGTTGCCCCTAAATGTCCTCCCTTGCTGGCCTGATCACCCACAACTGCCCTCCCCTGATGGCCATCTTGTGGCATCCATCTTGTGTACACATGGGGCAGGCCATCTTGTATGTTGGAGTGATGGTCAATTTGCATATTGCCCTTTTATTAGATAGGATGACAAGCCCTAGACAAGCAATGCATATCTATATCTATATCATCTATATCTATATCTATATCTATATCTATATCTATATCTATATCTATGTCATCTATATTTATATATAAAACCCTAATATGCATATAGACAGAACAAGGGAACAACCGAACAACTGGTTGCCCAGTGCCAGCCCTGATCACTCCACACAATCACCGGGTGCAAGCCGTGGCTGCCAGCCCTGATCACCGCTGAGGGCTTCTCCACCTTGCCCTGCTCCTGAGAGGCAATTGTGGCAGCAGCTGTCGCTTGCACCCACTGATAGCATGGGCCCCACTCTCACCCACTGCTGGCACCAGCCCCAATAGCTCCATGCTATGCTGTCATCACATGGGAGCTGGAGTAGGGCTGCCAGCAGACAGGGGACCAGGGTCTGAGGCAGGAGGGGCCGGGCAGGGGTGAGAAGGATGGGCCAAGACCAGCCCTTTTGCCCACTGCAGCCTCACAGCCCACACAGTTCCTTTCAAGATAAACAAATTTATGCACTGGGCCCCTAGTACAATAATAATTTCCATGCAGAAAATGATAGTCAAGCATGCCAGGTAAGGCTGTTGCAATCCTATAAAAGTTGAGTTTTGAGGTGATTATTGAATTATTTATTTACAAATAATAGTGCCCAGTATTGCGAGATTGTTGCATGCCACACTCCAAGTCAGAAGTAAATAGACAAAGGTGGTGAGGAACAAACGTAAAATAACCTGTGTGCCAAGATAGCTTGTTAATCAATGACTTCAACAAGATGCTACTAATGTTGCCTTTTGCTGTGCAGATGAAAAGAAAATTTTCTAGCCAAAGACAAACATAGATATTAAATTAAAGAGGATAAAATAAAAAACAAGAATAGCACATTAGTCTTCCTTTGGTACTTTCCACTCTTCCCTTGGAAACCTTATCCTATTATAAAGTTACTTGCCTTTCCTTTATTTTTCATTATTCCTTTTTTAAATTAATTTCTTTATTGATTAAGGTATCACATATTTGTCCTCAACCCCCCATTCCAATTCCCCTATTGTCCTTGACCACTGGTTAGGCTCATAGTGTGCACATAAGTCCTTTGGTTGATCTCTCCCTTTTATCCCCACCCTCTCTTTGAGGTCTAACAGTCTGACCCATGGCTCCTTATCTCTAGGTCTGTTCTTGTTCATCAGTCTATGTTGTTCACCATCTCCCCTAGATGAGTGAGATCAATCGCTGATGACACCTTACCATAATAGCAGCCAGCAGCTGTGTATCACTGCAGGTTGCCCAGGACCAAACCAGAGAGGGTTGGACCTGCATTACCACCATCCAGAACTGAAATATCATTGCTGACATGTACACATAAGGAACTATTTTTTCATTATTCTTTAAGCTTACTTTCCTACTGTAGTACTTATCACATTTCACTCTAATTACTTGTCTGTAACCTTCCACAAGTGGTAGCTGCTCTATAGGTATGATGCTTATTTAATTTGAAACATGTGTAGTGTAGGAGATATCTGAGAAGGTGTCTTGAGGACAATTCTGAAACCTTAAATGTCATGTAAGGATTCTGACTTTGGTTACAGGTGATGCATTGGAGGACATGAGGGTGGGGAATAATAAACGGTATACTGTAGCAGAATGGACACAATCTTGAAAGTGATGAGGGAATGAAATAAGGCAGTGGCAGTGGGATGGAGGGACAGAGATAGATTTTGGAGATATATCTAGCTGAGAATAATCACAATCTTGAAAAGATTAATTTAAAAAATCCTGTTTTTTTATTACAATTTTTAATATTATTTCTAAGAATTTAGATATTATAAATTTTTCCAAGCCTTTCTTGGTCAGACCTCTTCACTATACTAAATACCAAAAGTATCAAATCATTGTTTATATGGAAAATGTACTTAATTGTTGATTTAGTGCCATAGCAACAATGGTAAATGTTCTTTTTCATCAACCTGCTTCCCTCAACTTGACAAAAATATTTCAAATATATCCTTTTTTTTTGCTATAAATATAATGTATTTTTAATATAATTGTATGATGCTAGGAATAATTTAATAGTAGTTCAATAGAAAACATGCTCAGCAGTTTTGTTACTGCAGTTAGAGATTGGAAAGCTTCTGTGGGTGTTAAACCTTATTGTATTTTTATTAGTAATCTGATATTTGTATTTGGCCTTTAACAAGTTAGTTCACATGCAACATTGATTTGTTGTCATCCTTCTCATTATCTGTGAGTAAGACAATACATTGCCTCCCACTTCACTGCTGCTGTCAAAGAATAAACACTTTTTTCAGGAAAAGTAGCCCAAGAGAAATTTGGTTGGTAGTAAAAGCATTTTCACAGTCTTTCTGATGTTACTGTTGAAATCTCGGCACTCAAATTGAATATATCTGTAAATGTGAAAGAAACTCTAAAAACAGAGATACACTTTTCATAACATTTATAGAGACATCTATTACTTTCTTGCCCTTCCTCAGAAACTACATGAAACTTAAGTGTCCATTGTCCTATAATATAATGGATTAATACAGGGATACATAGAAGGATGAACAATTGTTAGTTATTTCCATCATAAGATATGCACCATGTCCCATATTTCTTTCATCTAGCCTTTTATGTTCTTCCCCTAGTCTTTTACTTATTCTTTCTATCTCTATTTTCTACTTCTTGCACAAAACATTGACTGACATGAATCCATGGGCTTTCCTCAGCTTTGCTTATGTTCTGCAGTGGACAGAGTTTGCTCCTCCTATTCTAGATGACCTTTGTGGAAAAGACTTGGAACAATTGATGAAAAACACCATTCTAGTTCAATGAGATGGCTATTGAAATGGTTTTTAGACATGTAATATATTGTGCAATGTGTGTATGTGTGTGTATGTGGGTAGAGAGAGGAGAGACAATATCAAAGAACAATATATATATATATATATATATATATATATATGATGTAATGTTAAAAATAATATTTATACATATATGTCCTATGCCTTATAGTATTTGAATAAAAATGAGACAACTAATTACACTAAATGCATGTGACACTCCTTCTTTCTTCTCTTATATTTTCTATGCATTTTTATTTCACTTGTATGGTCCCTTTAGATTATTGGAAATAAAGATACTTTGCTACTTATAAAGTAGGAAAATTTTAAGAGGTAATTTACCTCCTCCATTTGAAAGATTAAATACTATATAAACATCTTCAAAGATATTCTTTCTTTATTCAAATGTAGGATACCCCTAGAAATCAACTAATATAAGCAAACAAAGTACAGGAAATAAGTCTATGGAAAAGTTGTGCTATTCTGTAAAACAGAATCAAGTTAATTTAATTATAACTAGTCATGAAGTATAACAGCACACACATTCCATACTGAAAAGGGATAGCTTCACTTAAAATTAGATTTACTATACATAATTCTGTTTGACTTACTAATATAGCATTTAAAGCCAAATAAATAAGTTAAGAAAAGTATCTTAACCAGCCCTGATCAGGTGGCTCAGTTGGTTGGAGAGTCGTCAGTACATCAAAAGTTTTGGTTTACATTCCCAGTCATGTCTCATATGGGTGGCAATAGATTAATTGATGTTTCTCTTTCACATCAATGTTTCTCTCTGTCTCTCCCTTCCTAAACATATCCTTGGGCACCAGTACTGAGAAAGCTTCCCACATAACATCTGTATGTGAAAAGAAACAGGGTAGCTGTCTATCAACCAGAGACAGTTGGAAATGCAAGCATCCTCTTAAAGGGCCAACACAAAAAAATTCATATGCAGACAATCACATTGGGCTCCAGCAGACACATCATAATCACCCAAAGTCCATGGCTCTTGGTGTTGCTTATTCTGTAGTTTTGAACAAATGTATAATGAGATCTATTCATTATTATGGTGCCATACAGAGTAGTTTCACTGTCCTAAAAATCCTGTGCTCTGCTGTTCATCTCTGCTTCCCCTTAACTTCTGGCTGCCACTGAACTTCTTCCATATATATATAATTGATTTTTTTTACAGAGAGAAAGAGAGAGGGATAGTTAGAAACATAGATGAGAGAGAAACATCGACCAGTTGCCTCTTGCACACCCCCTACTGGGGATGTGCCTGCAACCAGGGTACATGCCCTTGACCCCTCCGTCAGCAGGCCGACAACTCTATCCACTGAGCCAAATCGGTTTTGGCTTCCACTGAACTTCTTGCTGTTTCCACAGTGCTGCTTTTTCCGGAATGTGTGATATGGTTGGAACCATAGTATGTAACCTGTTCAGAATTGATTCATTCACTTAGTAATATACATGACTTGATGAATAAGGCTGCTATAAAAACCTATATGCAGGTGTTTTTGTTTTTTTATGAGTTCAGTTTTAAACAGAATAAGTGAAAAGACACTCAAGTAAAAATATTCCAGGACATTTTCAAGTTAGCATTTATAAGGGAGATAAAGCTAGATATATACATTTATAGTATTCATCCTTTCTTCAGGTTCTTTAATGAAAACTGCTCATATGCTATTTATTATACTTAGTGCTGGAAATGCATAGTTGAGAATTAGAGTTCTTTAGTTTAAAGATCTCACAGAATCTTGGTGAAAAAAATAGATATGAAACAAATAATCTCAATATAATATGGAGAATGCCACAAAGTATTAGGGAGTTATGATCCACTCCATTTGATGGAGCCGAGGAAGCTTCACAAAACTAACAGCACTTGAATTGAACCTTGAAGAAGCACCTGGAGGTTACAGGCCAATGATTTGAGCATAGTCTTTATACTTTAAAAAGTTGCAGCATAGGCTGGTGTTGTGGAAATAAACTATAAAGATAGGTTGATCAGCTGGAGAAATTTTTAATGTCCTGCTAATGAGTTTGAACTTTTTTCTCATATTAGCAATAATCACTGAATAATTGAAGTATAGGTGTGACGTGAATGAGGATTTTAGAAATATAATCTGTTTGCCTGTATGGAAGACAGTACAGAACACATAAATATGATGTCTCAAGAGAATAGGAAAACCAATGGGACAGTTCACATATAAAGAAGACTGATCTGTGACTTGGAAGTAGTAGTCAAGTGTGAGAGAAAGATTTGGGAAGTATTTAAAAAGTTGAATTCATAAGAAAATTACATATAGTATTACTTATCTTATGTTTATATCTCTTTTAAAAATACATTAAGATCTATTTGATTTATGAAAATAACGGTACTATAAAGGAAGTGTAAATAGATATACTATTTATATTGTGTCACAAGAAAAACTTTTAGAATTAATTTTCTATATTTCCTAGCCAGATTTCTCAAAAACATGCTATTTCAAAAAATGTTAATTTTCTTTTTAAATATACATTTGATAGAATTAGATTTCTGTTTTATAGTTTTTAAATGTCAAAATATGAGTTTCTGCAAAAAAACCCTGAGAGACTTAAAAGTCAGAGGGGTTTTGTAGCACAGCGTCTTAATGATTAACATATCACATGTAATGAAAGGTTGGGATAGATCTAGAATAAAAGTAAATACATTTCTCAAGCACGTCTCAGATGATCAATATTGGCATATTCTCTTGGTACACGAGGATGAACGAAAATAGTTAAATCTACAAACGCTAAACTAATTAATTGTCTTTGATTAGCAATTTGTTTTTTCCACATGAGTAACTTTGTTGAAAAGTTATTGCCTTTAGTTACCCTCGGTAATAAGATCCTTTAAGAATAAATTTGAGATATGGAGGTAATAGATGTAATTATGATTAGAAATTAAGACAACAGCCAGGTGGTTTACTATGGTAGCATTGATAACCTGAAAGCAGGCGGAAATAAACTGAAAGAACAGTTCAAATACTATTGTTGACATTATGGTGTTGCTTATTGCAAAAATAATTGTGTGTGTGCAAATGTGCTTTTTTTCTCTTTTTATTTCAGCTATGACAGTGATAGCTGGTGCCCGCCATTACCAGTACAAACATACTTGCACCAGGGCATGGAAGATGAACTGGAAGAGGACGATGATCGTGTCCCAACACCTCCTGTCCGAGGGGTGGCTTCGTCTCCTGCTGTTTCCTTTGGACAGCAGTCCACGGCAACGCTCACTCCATCCCCACGGGAAGAGATGCAACCCATGCTGCAAGCTCACCTGGACGAGCTGACAAGGGCCTATCAGTTTGACATAGCAAAGCAAACATGGTAAATAACTTCAGTAGGTCAGGGGGACCTGGGCTTTCAAAACATGGAGAGAGGAAATGTTATTTCATACTAAATTCATAAGAGGTTTTCATGGAACTATACTGCTGGGGTTAGAAATGCTTTTGTACAACTTTTCAATCATCTAGATAAGGAAATCGACTGTGGAAATGTTAGATAATTTGACCAAAGTTTCATGATTAGTTAGAGTGAATCAGAGCAAGAAGTTAGATGTGTTGAATTTCAGGTGAAGGTGCTTTTTGCTACACCAGAGTCTTTTCTAAGTTATAGTTTAAATTCAATTAGCTTATCCTTAAAGCTCACTTCCAATACCATAATAAAAGACTCCTTTTAGATTCTTTAAAGTGCCTATAATTAATTTTGACTGTGGTTGTGAATATATAAATGTAAGCTTCTGCAAATCACACGTGGTCAGTGTCAATTATTAAAAGACCTTCTTTGGCATTAATTAAATGAGATAGAAAATTACAATATTAGTAACGGAAAGTGCATTTAAAAAAAAACACAAAATAATTTCAAATTCAAAATTGTTTTCTTTCTAATGAATCTATAAACTTGCCTAAGATATAAATGGAAATCTTCTTAAATGCCCTGTGAAAATATGACAGGAATACAAGTGGGACCAATTCTCATTATTTTGTGCAGTTATTGTTCTCATTTGCCCTCTCTTCTCCCGGATTTTAAAATTATATCTTAATAATATACATTTTATTATCTTCTGTTAATTTAGACCATGTGCTTGAAATTAGAGTAAATTTTTATGACAGGTTATTTGCTTCTTTTTCATAGTTCTGGCTACTGAAATAAGTAGATAATAAGATAAATCTTATTCACGGTGTTAATGAACATTTTTTGAAATACAACTAAACACACAAAGATTCACTAAAACCACTTATCACTTAAAGCTTTTTACAAACATAAGGTATTTTCTTAGAGATCCTTGAACTTTTTTCCACAATTATCAGATTTTTTTCCCCCCAAATTTTAAAACAATCTACCTTTAAAGTGTTATATTACTTTGGACTGCTTTATAAAATACCATTTTTTTAGTTGAAGCCAGAAAATTTCCTTCAAGTTAACTTATGAAGCTGTGCAATTTAGTTACTTAGCACAGATTCCAGCTCAGGGTTCTAAATATGACTGAATATGGAAATCACCTGGACAGCCTTAAACTGTTGATATCCACCAGGCCCTCCTCTGGAGATTCTAATGGCTTGGTGTGTTATTTGCTTGGGGCAGCCAGGTTGGGACCACCACCACGGCCACTACTTACGAGTTGTGTGACACTGGGCAGCATGTTTAACATTTCTGTGCTTCAGTTCACTTGAATCCCCACAAAACTCATAGGTAGCTGTTACACCCAGTCCCAGTGTATTATTGTGAAAAGGTGCAGATTAAAGTCAGGCAAAAAAAGAGATGCATGGGGCAGAGTGGAGAACAGTTCCACAGACAGACGCCCAGCTGTCCTCTCCCAGTGGCAATGTGCAGCGGTTTGCAAGGAGCATTGCCCACCAAGGAAGCTCACTTGATCCCTGAGGTTCAGAGTCTTTATCGGGTCTGTCACACAGACATGGCTGACTACCTGCATGGCTGGCCTCGATCTCCAGCCCTTCCAGAAGGCAAGCTGATACCTTGTGATTCAAGGATCCCACCATAAGTCTCAATGTTAGACTTTCTGGAGGAGCTGGAGGCCTCCAAGAAAAAAAAAAAAAAAACAATAACCACCAAAGACATTTTTATCAGACAGAATATTCTGGAGCATAGGGCAAAGGCCTGACTTCTCTTTAGGTAAGGATAAACTTATTACAATGCATCATAGTTTTTTAGGAATTAAATGAGTTTGCACTTGCATAGTCCTGGTAAAGAAACTAGCTATATTACAGCTGCTAATATTCAGGTGGGCTTGGGTTTCCACCTGAATTGTTCACTGCTGTCTTCTAGGCTTAGAGGAGGGTCCACTTAGCACATGCTCCACAGACATTTCCTAAATGAGTGAACAAAGGAGTTCACCTCCACCTGCTGCAAGTACCCACAGAGCAGACCCTGCTTTCTCAGTGTTTCTCTTCTGCCCAACAATCCCAGAATGCCCTTGCAGGGAGATGACACTCAAGGGCACGAGACCTTGACCTTCTGGAATGGAAATGCCTCTAGTCTGGGCTGCACATCAACATCACAGGAAAAACATTTACAAAATAGTCACTCCCAGGCCTAAACTCCAGGGATTCTGTTCACATTGACCCCTGAACTGCACAGCAGAGTGCCTGCCACGAGGAGATATTTATAAATGGGTGTACCTTCTTTCTGCATTTCAGTGCATCTTCTAATTCTGCCAAACTCAGAGTACATTTTTCACCCCTTAATGTAGCTCTGTCCCATCAAGAGGTGTCAGCAGTGATGCAGGATGAATGTGTTGGCATGTCTGGTCCTCCCCAGGAGCTGAGTGTCCGCCCTTAGAGGAGAATGAGTTGTGCATATAAATGGCACTGTACATCCACTTGCTCCTGACGGGGCTCACTTCTTCCTTGATTCACAAACAAGATTCGAGGCCACATTTCCAGGAAGAGGTAGCCCTCCACACTCAAGACTTATTATATAAATAGTTAGGGATCCACCTGGCATATATATATATATATATATATATATATATATATATATATATATATATATATATAATTGATTTTTTTACAGAGAGGAAGAGGGAGGGATAGAGAGCTAGAAACATTGATGAGAGAGAAACATCAATCATCTGCCTCCTGCACACCCCTCACTGGGGATGTGCCTGCAACCAAGGTACATGCCCCTGACCAGAATCGAACCCAGGACCCTTCAGTCTGCAGGCCGACGCTCTATACACTGAACCAAACAGGTTTCAGCACCACATGACTTTTCAAAGAATGCTTTGTTATGAATTCCAAACAATAACGTGGGAACCTCACATGGTCTGTTAAATTAAAGATATGGGCCTCATGGCATTCAAGTGGCTTCCAGAGCTAACGTATTAGGTTTGCTTTAACTGAAAGATCTAGAATCTTGTTAACATTACAGTTGGCTACAAATTTAAGAATGCACTTTCAAAAGGAATATTAAGCAATGAAATATTTCCCTCAAAATGCAAATATTAAATAAAATTCTTATATCTTTGAATAAAAAAACTAACAGCAAAAATGCATAGCACTTGTTTTATATATCCTTATATAGCAGAAGTCTTTTAAATACTTTGTATTAAAAAGACAGTGTCCTAGCATGCAGGATATTCACTCTTTAATGACAAATGCAGAGTGAGTTCATTTAGCATTTTATGGTTAGGGAACCCTTTTCCTGCCAAGAACTATTTGGAATTTTATAAAGGCAATAGCGGGACATAGAAATATATCAACTTAAAAATTAGCCTGCTACATTTGATCCATCATTTAATTGACTCACCCCTAATGCTTTGGCAGGGCCAGACCCAATGATTTCAAAGGCCTTATACAACCCAATGGGCTGGGTGTTCTGCACCCCTGGTTTAGAAGAAACTCTTAAATACTCAAAAAGTGAACCAACTTGACCCCAACGTCCAGCTCTACATTTTATCAATCATGTGATTTGAAACAAGTCATTTAATTGGACTTTGCTATAATAATTTGGAAAAGAGAATTCTATCTGCTTCTCAAAGTTGAGATTAAAGGTATTCATTTATTCCAGTGGTCGGCAAACTGTGGCTCTCGAGCCACATGAGGCTCTTTGGCCTTTTGAGTGTGACTCTTTCACAAAATACCATGTGCGGGCAGGCACATACAGCGCTATTGAAACTTCGTGGCCCGTGCACAGAGGTCAGTTTTCAGCTCTCAAAAGAAATTTTCAATCGTTGTACTGTTGATATTTGGCTCTGTTGACCAGTGAGTTTGCCAACCACTGATTCATTCATAGAAATTATTGAGCACACCTGAGGGCCTAAACTCAGTGCTGAGAGGCGTCTCTTCTGTCTTCAGGTGCTTAAGACTTTGGTGGGTGGGACTGATGCACCTATAAGCAGCTAGAACACTAGGTGGTCATTCCTCCTCTAAACTAGTTTAAAGTGAAAACACCCATCAGCCTGATTCGGGGGTCATGCAGGAAGAAAGTTCTCAGGGTTGGGGACCAGGGCATTGGTACGAGACCTTTATGTGACATCTCTTCTTCCTAAGGGCCAGCAGGTCACATAGGTTACACAGGTTGAGTCAAATTCTGACACTAAGCTGGGAACAAAATGATCATATTCTTTTTGGACCAAAATACAGTAAGTTTTATTGTTTTTTTAATATATTTTTATTGATTTCAGAGAGGAAGGGAGAGGAAGAGAAATAATATCAATAATGAGAGAGAATCATTGATTGGCTGCCTCCTGTATTCCCCTTACTGGATACTGGGCCCGCATCCTGAGCATGTGCCCTTGACCAGAACCTGGGACCCTTGAGTCTGCAGGCTGACGCTCTATACACTGAGCCAAACTTGCTAGAGCTATAGTCAGCTTTAAATAGTTACTAGTATTTGTGACAAATATGCCTATTCTCCTTTGGAAGATTTATTTATACTAAATAATGCTGAATTTGTACTCTTTTTCTCTGTGGATCATCCTATAAATATTGTACCAACTGAAGGGTATTATAATCTAGATTGTTGTTGTGTTGGCAAGTTACATATATGTAGCCCATTGCCTCCGCTGAAATGTAAGAAAGGAGTGTGACCTTCAAAATTAGTCAAAGGAAACAACAAGAGAAAGTTAGTTACCATAGCATGCCGTTTAATTCCAATTACAATTTTGTGGAATGCTAACAAGTTTATTTTGCCCCCATTTAAATTCTAGGCACATTCAAAGCAATAATCAACCTCCACAGCCCCCGGTTCCACCATTAGGTTACATGTCCGGAGCCTTGATTTCTGATTTGGAAACAGATGTTCCAGATGATGATGCTGATGATGAGGAGGAAGCTTTAGAAATCCCCAGGCCCCTGAGAGTGCTAGAGCAGATGCCTGGATCCAGCATGGACAATCTGGATAGCTCTGTGACAGGTAACAGGACAAATTTATTAGGAATGACTGACCTATTTGTAACATTAAAATATATCAAAAATCATATTCTTTTTTATGTAAGATTTATTCCACTCCATTTATCTCAGTAACATTTTAAATAGGCCAATATTAAACACAGAACTCAAAAATGATTTGGAAATATTTTTGCTTTGCTGCAAAAATGATAAGAAAATTTCATGAATTTTAAAAAGCTTTAAATACATGAAAGAAAACTCAATTATATCCAGGATTTTCATGAAAAGTTCACTCTACTGGAGAACCAAGTCTATTATATAAAAACCTTGACTTTTCAGAATGATATATTTTATGTAACAGGAACAACATAGAAAGTGAATGTAATCTTAATATGATTTTTGATATTTTATTCTGTAAAATCATTCATTGATGAAAAAAAGCAAGTGTTCAGAATAAGTATTTCTAAGGTTGCAGGGCTATTATTTTTAGAGTGAAGAAACTGTATAGAGAGATAACCACACATCTATGCATTTCATATTGTTGGATCCAATAACTGCTTCTCTCCTAAGAAGTGTATTGCTCTTTCCTCCTCTGGCTTCCTCTTGCCTTGTTCACCGAGTGGAAGGCTGCAGGTGGTACTTTAATAAGATGGTATCAGTACTGAAGCCTATTTCCCAAAATTTTTCAAATAATAAATCCTATTTAAATCCTAATATAGACACAATGAATATGGAGAAAAGTAAAAATGTCTTTCTATTCATGTAGGTACCATTTCTTACTTACACACACACACACACACACACACACACACACACACACACACACACATCTCTTGCAAGACCATAAAGATGTAACTGCTAAAAATGTAAGTTTGCCTTTGCATGTCATTGGGTCTTCTCAGGCAACCTCACAGGCATGTAAATGCACATGGAGATGACCCTGAGGTAAATGTATGTAAGAACCAAGTATTATAGAAATCAGCATGCCAATGAATAGTATTCTAACATGTTTATGTTTCCTTCAAACACATGGCTAGTTTAATGGCGCTAAGTTATATGGGTAATATGTTTTTAGGAGAGGATATTGATCTTACCAAAAGTTACTGTGAGTTCTAAATGTGTGTGTGTGGTGTGAGCAAATTTGTCATTACTTTCACCTGAATTCTTTAAGAGATTTTCATTTTCATGAAATTAATGACCATTTTTACTAAATAGAAATAACAGTGATATTCCATTCCCTGAAATTCAAAAGTCAACCAAAATGATAATGCAATTATACCACAGAGGTGGGCTTCTAAGCCTGTACATAAAATCATTCAGGACTGTGGCTATATTATATTCCAACAGTCGCTATGTTAAAGAATATCAGCAGTTAACAAGGTATAGAGCCCATATTTATAAAGAAAATAAGTATATTAATTTCAAATATTTTCATAGCAACTAAGATATTTTTGAGGAATTTCTTAAATTTTGACATAAAATTTCATACATGGAAAATGCAAAGAAAAATGGAAAATATCAGTTAGTTCCATATTTCATGAACTCAGTGTCTTAGTCTGGACAGGCTGCTATAATAAAATACCATAGACTGGTTGGCTTAAACAGCAAACATTAATTTCTCACCATTCTGGAGGCTGGTAAGTCCAAGATCAAAGAGACAGCAGATTTAGTTCCTAGTGAGAACTGTCTTTGTGATTCGAAGACTGCTCTCTTCTCTCTGTGCCCTCACATGGCAGTTAGAGAGAGAGCACACTCTCTGGTCTCTTTGCAAGGCCACTAATCCCATCAGGAGGACCTCATACTCATGACTTCCTCTGAATCCGATTACCTCCAAAGACCTCTCCTCAGAGTGCCATCACATTAAGTGTGACAGCCTGAACATATACATTTCTGGGAGATTCCAACATTCAGTCTGTAAAACTCAGTAACGGAAAATGTATTTGAAAATTGTTATTTATTTATAAATTCTCACAACAAGCACTTAATGAATGCCTAATTCTTCCAACCACTCAGCTAAGAATTGAGATTTAATAATATGATAATAATAACAATAACTTGCACATATATAACCCTTAGTAAGTGAAAGGCACTTTTCTAAGCAGTGGCCTGTGTTTTTGTGTGGGCCTTAGTGAGCTAACAATATTTCTTACATTTTTAAATCGTTATAAGAAAATAAGAAACAATAAAAAATAAAAAAAAAAGACTGTAGGGCAGAGAAGGCAAAGCCTAAAATATTTAGTGCCTGTTATTTTATCTAAAATGTGGCTGACCCTTGTTCTAAATTTTAATATATATTAACTCATTTAATCATCACTTTATTTTTTATTTTAGAATTGATAAACTACATACATATATATTTATTTAATTTATTGAGGTTACAACAGTTAATAATACAGGTTTCATGTGTACAATTCTATAATACATCATCTGTGTATTGTATTGTGAGTTCACTACCCAAAGTCTAGTCTTTTTTCATCACCATTTATTTTTACCCTCTTTGACATGTCCTCAACCTCCCTTTCCTGTTTATTCTCTTTTTATAGAAAAGGAATTGAGTCGCAGATAGGTTTAAAGTCTTTTTCAATGTCACATAAGTGGTAGAAGAAGATTCAAAATCAGTCAGTCTTATGCTAAAGACTAGAGGCCTGGTGCACGAAAATTTGTGCACTGGTGGTGGGGTCCATGGCCCTGCCTGCCCCTTCTCACAGTCCAGGAGCCCTCAGGGGAGTGACAGCTTAGGGCTGCTCCCCAGTTGGAGTGGGCCTAAGCCGCATGGGCCTCTCCAGGAGGAGACAGGGACAATCAGGGGAAGGCACCACCCCCATCATTCCACTGCTGGACGCCAAGGCTGCCAGCCCTTGGCCCTCACTTCTTAGTGCTAACCCAGCCCCCCTGCCCACTGGTGGGTGGGGGACGATCTGAGGTCAGGCTGGCTGGGGGAGGGACTGTCAAAGGTTGAGGCACAGCAGGACACACCTGGTCCAGCCTCTGTGGAGGCATGGCGCCGGGATCTGGCCGCGCCGCTGCCCCTGTGGCTGCCTCTGCTGAAAGATCAGCACTGAGATCAGGACCACACAGCCCCCTCTTCTGCTGCCTCTGCAGAAGGGGCCACAGCACTGGATCTCCCTGCATCTCCGCCTCTCCAGTGCCACTGCCTCTCCTGTGCTGCCGGCCCTCAGCCTTTGCAGCCACTGCAGCTTTGTCCAGAAGGATGTACAGAAGACTTCCAGTCTAATTAGCATATTACCCTTTTATTAATATAGATAAGTTATCATAATCCTTGCTATGAAAATGCCCAACATTTTGTAATGTCTGGGTGTTTAAGAGGATATTTAAGAGGAAAATGAGCCGAAACTGGTTTGGCTCAATGGATAGAGCGTCGGCTTGGGGACTGAAAGGTCCTGGGTTTGATTCTGGTCAAGGGCCTGTACCTTGGTTGCGGGCATATCCCCAGTAGGGGGTGTGCAAGAGGCAGCTGATCGATGACTCTCTCTCATCGATGTTTCTAACTATCTCTCTCCCTTCCTCTCTGTACAAAATCAATAAAATATATTTTAAAAAGAAAAAAAAGAGGAAAATGATTTTCCATTTTATTACTTAACATCTCCCCCCCATCTCCCTCTCTCTCTCTCTCTCTCTCTCTCTCTCTCTCTCTCTCTCTCTCTCTTTCTCTCTCTCTCTCTCTCTCTCTCTCTCTCTCTCTCTCTCTCTCTCTGTCTCTCTGTCTCTCTCTTTCTCTCTCTCTCTCTCTCTCTCTCTCTCTCTCTCTCTCTCTCTCTCTGTTTTTCTCTTTCTGCCCCCTTTCTACATTTGAATAAATAGAACATGTAATTTCATCCCTGAAAACATTATTTCTTACCTTATACACTAATCCAATTTCAAAAATAGTAATTTTTAGAAAAAAAATTATTTTTCTCATGTTTATTTCTATATTCAAGAATAGTTACTCATTCTAATAAAATTCAACTCTCTCAGCACTTTTTTTTAGGAAATCTCATTTTTATAATCTTAAAGCCTGTTTGGTTTTAAAAAGTATAAAGATGTGTTGATCACAGCATAGCACACTCTATTTGGGGCTGGAAAGTGAACATGCAGGATTGTGTGTTAGTCTTCTTGAAATATTTCTTTGTAAACGCCAAACCCACATTTGGGTAACAGAATGGGAATCCTTCAATACTTCTTTCTGTAAGGTTTATGGTGGGAGTCCAGTGTAAGTGTTTCCTGAATTTAATGACTCCACCACAGGCAAAAAGAAACAAAGGCAATGGGAGAGGAGGCAGGAGGAAAATGTCCTACAAGTGGAGCCAAGATCTGAGCTGCCACATTGATCACAGAAAGTAACACTGAGAGCGTGTGCTGGGAAGGGAAATGGAAAAAGAAGTTTCCTTCTCCTCTGGACCCCACAGAAATACCTCAGCTGAAAGGAAATTGTGACTCTATATTTTCTGTACTTTATGTCTTTTGAGGTTTTACTTGAACTCCCAAACCAGATCATTTTGAAATCAATAAAAACCTGGCAGCCTCAACATCTTATTGGACCACACAGCTTTTAGAAAATTGGCCACTTAAACGTGTGACCTGACTCCTTGCTTTTGTTGCAAAAAATGTAAGGAAAATATTTCAACATTAGGAAAATTTCAGAAATATTGTTAAAAATAATTTTTGTTTTCTTAGACTACCTGCACAGCTTTGCTGTATTATAAAAGAAATTAAGTATAATCTCCAAAATGTGAGAGTTAAAATGGGAGCATCATCTGTTCAATTTTTATCTGAGCAGAACAAGTTAACAGCTGTGAAATATCGAAAGGAAGATATTTTATAATTGTTTATTTTACTTTCTGTATGTATTACAGATATCTTTCTCTCTGAGAAATGTAGGTGGAATTGTTTCATGTTCAAAAAAATTTTTTTTGAGTGAAAGAGGGACTTCTAAAGATTAAACATGTTTTCCTACATTTAGGTAGAGATAAATATTTGGATTGGTTTGTCCAAAGACACTTATAACTGAAGATTTTATTTAACAGA